GGCGAGCGCCACGGTTACCAAGGCGAAGGAGGAGAAGTCCATGCGCCATGGTCTCCGTTTCTTCCGGAAGGGACAAGCTCCAATATCCATAGTGTTGCAGTAGTTCTCCGGCCTGGGTCAGCTGTAAATGTGGGATATGGGGGAAGTTATCCTCTCACAGAAAGCCAGCCGACGAGAGGAGCCCGACTGACCCTTCTGTGAGGAAACAGACAAAAAGGCACGCCTCTGGAGACGTCTTTACCTTTCTCCGGAAACCTTCCTTAATGGTTTACCTATATTAATGCACCAAACCTAAAGACTAAAATGGGTTTGGGGTGAATAAATATATTTGATATTGAAGTTTAATCCCTAGCACTGAAGCCCCATTGACTCAGATTGGGTACGAGTACCCAAAGTGGAGAGAGCAGAGAGAGACCTGGAATCACGCTCTCTCTCCCTTCTCTCTCTTTCCCTCTCTCCTTCTTTACTTTCTCCCACGAAGAGTGAGAGCGGTTGTGTATGTGTGTGTGTGTGTGTGTGTGGAGAGAGAGACAGAGGGGGAGAGAGAGAGAGAGAGAATGGCAAAGGTGGAGAGGGAGGGAGAGGGCGTGCGTAATAGCGCGCCGGGCGCACGTAGAAGTACGTGTACGAGGAGAGTCTGGGAGTGGAAACTGGGTCTTTTCTTATGATCGAGCTGCAAAGATGTTTCAGCTTTTCTGTTAACTCTGAGTTATTAACTCAGTGTCAGTGAAACCTTTTTGTCTTCGTCTCGATTCCCTCTCAAAAGCCCAAATTACTGAGATGAGTATTTATCTTTGCCACGTCCTGCTTTCTGCGTCTGTGCCTGCGACAGGTAAATGCAGGCTTTGTAGAGCAAGCAGGGCTGTTCAGGTAAACTGAGGATGAGACGGCTGCTGTGCAGAGTAGTTGAATGAACGTTGAGTTAGCCAATCAGACCTCTGTCCGCGCCACTAGCCACGCCCCCTCGGCTAAATCCTCGAAGTTCTACCCTTATTCTGATTGGTCAGCCCCACGTGGCCTTGTTTTGCAGGTGTTGGATGGCGATGGAGAGATGAGAATATTATCTTTCATTTATTGCGTAAAGAGCTTTTACCAACTTGAGATTTGAAATAAAATATTTGAGAAGTTTGGAGACAAAGTTAGAGAGACATGACTGAGATCTGTGCACAGGAGGGAAACACTGGGCATAGGATGTTGAAAATGGAGCTGCCATGCAGGAGGAGAAGAGGAGGATATAAGAGAAGATTCATGGATGTAGTGAAGAAGGACATGCAGAGTGTAGGTGTGACAGAGGAGGATGTAAGGGGAAAGGCTGAGGTGAGGGAAGATCATCCACAGTGGCGACCGCTAAAGGAGCAGCAGAAAGAAGAAAATGAAATATCTGACTGAAGAGTATGATGAAGCCTGATGCTTAAAAGGAAAAAAAATGTTTGCATGCAAGAAAACATGCAGAGACTCCAAACTCTCAAGACATAAACCCAAAAAATGAATTTAGTCCTGGAAGAATTCTGAGTTATGCCTCAGAGAGACTTGAAGAACGTAAACCTGATGGTTTTACATTGTACTCATCCATTTATTTACCAGCACAAATGTCCAATGAGGATCCATTAATTCCCATCCAGATTTCAGCCAGTCAGGACTCCACCTCTATCTGTCTGCCCTGCATGTGCATCTTGCAGTAGATGGCACCATGTGATGGCAGCCTTTCTTCCTCAGATTCGATTCAAGCTCAAGAATGACTCACGCTCCCTCCTTTCCTGCGCGGTCCAGACAAGGATGGAAAGAACTAATGTACATTTCCAGCCTTTTAATATTTGTAAATACTGTACATCTGATTATCGCAGATTTTGACCTTAACTGTGCAAAAAGCTGATGTGGTTTAGGATGATTTAAGAGTCACCACAAGCCTTTTAAATACCAAAGTTAACACTGTTTGAGTGAATCTTTAGTAGCTACCCTCCTTACTCTTGTACCTTACTAACAATATCATGCAAAGAAGAAAATAACCGGCATGTTTTTAACGGCTAAGGAATGCTGCCTTAAGACATAATGAACTCTTTGCCAACAAAACCACAACCTGTCATCTCCAAAATTACCAGAGATGAGTCAAGAGCAACTGAACATCATAAATTT